TGCTACCTAAGAGAGACAGTTTCTTTTCATCTCACTATTTAGCAACATTCAATGTGCTTTTGGTGCAGTACTGTATTGTACTGTATTTGAATATCTTTATGAAATACTCTGATATTGAAATGATTTTATCATTATTTGGAGGGGAGAAGGAAATGAGAATAGGATTAGAATTCTTTCCTGACTGTAGACAATTAATAAAGCATTTAACAGTCTATCACTACTTTGCAGGAAAGAAATTTGAATTAAAGCTTAGGGATGTCAAGAACATTAATATTTGGAAATTTAATTTGACCATCCTAGTTAGTACAACAGTGTGTTTGATAGCCTTGGTTTATTAATAGATTATATGGTCCAATGCAAAAGATTCTGAGATCTAGTGGCACAGGACAGGTACGAACTCTGGAAATGGGAGTCTCAGGATCCAAACTCGGGAGAAAATGGGTAAGCCCTTGCATTCTATGGTGAAATATAATACCAACTAATTAATTATAAGCTTAAACCAATGTATGATGGTAATTTACCTTTGACAATCTGTTTTAGAACTACATAGAATTACCCTTTAACAGACTGTCCCTAGATATGTCTTAGTGCTTTAGTAATTAGTCTACAGTGTGGAACTTGCACAACCAAATCAGGAAAAAGCTTACATCAAAATAGCAATAATAATAGTAAAAACCTACATGTCATTTTGAAAAATACAGGCAGTCCTTGAATTTGTGAGGGTTTGTGGTCTGCAAAGACATTGTATGTTGAAATGAGGTAAATAAAATGAGATATTATAGAAAGTGTTAGAAAAGTGTGTGACTGATGTCATATGTCAATGACCACAGCACATTTTACTTACTATTTAATCAACTATAAATGATTTTGTAAGTGGTCTAAAGTTTTCTGAAGCATAACATATAAAATTGGTCAAATGCTGCAACCAATCATGTAAAGTTTAATTTGGTTTAATAATATGATCCCTGGGAGGATAGATGTGCAGGTCTATAAGGCCTCAAGGAAACATCTGGGGAAAAATTTTGACCTGTATTTGTCTCATTTGTAAAATATGAATGATGGATAGTACTAGATGGTTAATAAGAACCCTTATTTGGGGCTAGAATTCTATGATTTAGTCAGAATAGACAGTCTTGGGAGGTAGTAACCTAAAGTATTCAAGCAGAGACTGATTGAATATCTGCCAAGGTAAAAGGGTTCAATATGAAGACAACCTTTAGGAGAGAGGCTGAGTCCAAAGTTAAGTGTTGCAAACTCCCCTGCCCTCACCTCAGAGAGAGGAAATATGCCATGTGGAGGTAGATCTAAGGTCCAGGGCCTGGGACAGTGTTTTATGTCCCAGAGGCTATTATGAAACAGTCAGATTGGGCAACCAAATATGTATATTATGCAATGTGCTATAATGGTTAAAAGAAATGACTTAGGTGCTCATAGCAGTTTCAGAATATCAAATTGCTTTTTGTATTTCAGTTTTCACTAAAAGCCTCTTATATTCCATTTGAAACACAGAACTGCGTGCTAATAATGCCACAGAATGAACGAATATTTTTCTCACAACCACTCACCTTTGTATAACATGGCCCCAGTATGTGATTCCCAACATGCAATATGCTCATAATAGTTGCCTTATGTAAACAAAAGAATAAACAGTACAGTGCAGCCCCTCAAGACACCAACTCAACAGGCTACCATTTGAATGAGGGTTGTGATCACAGCACGTTTAGTATCCTATCCAAATCAAAGTCTCCCTCTATTTGTTTTCAAGATTATTCTGGTTCTGCTTGTTCCTGTCACTGCCCAACATACTCTCCTGGAACACTTTTCACCACACTGGCATGTCAGTGTGTGCTTTGAATATCTGTCCAAATTTAACCTAACAAAGAATGTGATTGTGCTGTAAAATCTTTAATCCTAAAGGAAGAAGAAGAGGAAGAAGAAGGAGAAAGACAAGATGATCCCTTCATTCCTTTTGGTGGACTTAAGCAGCAAAAGCACCAGCACTGTCTAAAACCAAACTGCAAGAACAAACAGGATTGAATTAACAAAACCTTTGAGTTTTGTACTTGGCTTATTCACTGAGACTATGTCCTACACTCAGGACCCAAATCCATATAAATCCTACCAAACAAATACATTGTTATGCCCTCTTCTGTCTAGCAACTTGGAAAAAGTCATTTTAAAACATTATCAACCACTTTTAAGTACTGATTCAAAAAAAATGTTGATAAGAATTCTAGA